TACTGTTTTGCCCCTTTCCATAGCTTCATTATAGTTTTTGTGTGAGACTGCGTTGGGTGGCGCACTTCCTGAGGCGGTAGATTGTGTGAGTCCGGAACTTAAAAGGGTGAAAAATACTAATAAAAATTTTAAAAGTGTATATGAAACTCTTTTTTAATCAAAAAGATAAAATTGCTAGGGAGGTACCGATTTTGTTGGCAGCGATTTGTATAATTTTGGTTTTTAAAAAGAATTCAACAAATTGCTGCCAAGAGAGCTATTTACTTAAAAAAAAAAAGTTATGTAAATTGATAGATCGCTGCCAAGGCATTGATTTCATTCAAAAAAAAATTTTAAAAAATTAAGTAGATTGGTAAATCGCTACATTACTTCAAATTTTTTCCAATTATATTCCTGGAAAGTATATGTTCACGTGATGATGCGACCAAACATTTTTAGAAAAAAAATTCATTTACAAATCGCTGCCTTGTTGAATTTATATTTTTTTTAAAAAAATTGTAAGTTGTACAATGCGTTGTTATAGCAGTGATTTTCTTTAAGCCGGCCAACAAAATCGCTACATTTTTAGCGATTTTACCATTTTGATTTAAAAAAAAATTTATATACTCTTTTGGAGTTTTTGTTTAATGTTTTTCACTCTTTAATGTCACGACCCAAATTCGGGTCGCGACTGGCACCCACACTTACCCTCCTATGTGAGCGAACCAGCCAATCTAAACCTTAACATTTCAATGTAATATCAACATAAAGTAATGCGGAAGACTTAAACTCATTAATAAAATCAATAACTATTATTATCCCCAAAATCTGGAAGTCATCACCACAAGAACATCTATGATCAAAGTACTAAACTAAGAGTATTCTAAAAGGTTAAAACAAATAAGGCTAGTCCATGCCGGAAGTTCAAGGCATCAAGACATGAAGGAGAAGATCCAGTCCAAGCTAGAAGCGTTAGCTCACCCTGAAGATCCGGTGTGACGAAGACTGGCTAGAATTACTGTTGAGTCGAAAACGACGGCACATTTGCTGCACTCCACAAATAAACAAGAAGAAAACATAAAAGTAGGGGTCAGTACAAAACACGGGTACTGAGTAGATATCATCGGCCAACTCAAAATAGAAAACAGTATATACCAAGTAATATCATAAACTCAACTATGATACTCAACATGTAGCAACAACAAGTACTACATCATTAACAATTACCATCAAGTTCACACATGAGGACTCAAGCCTCAATACCATACTCATTTGGGAATTATGTTCTTTAGATTGAGCATATTAACATCTTTCAAGATTTATTATCTTTATTTATCTTGTGTCGGTA